GCATGACAGCGAAGCCAACACGAACGTGAAGACTGCACATCTACTTTTATTCTTGTTGTGACGAACGTTATTATATGGATCTCGTTTTATTACTCAAGAGATGAACTTTACAATTAATCTGATACATCAATCACAAATGTCGGACTGATGATACTCCAAGACTGATTTTGGATGGGAATGGGTGGAAGAACTCAGGTGACAGGATACCATCTAATCATTCTCGTTCTTGAGTGAAACCATTGTTCATCTTGGCACTGGTGTACATTGGCTTCAAGACATCACACTTCCACAACACGGAGACAATCGATGCATTATCATCACACATCATCAAATTCATTGGTCGAGGTTATTCGTTGTTGAATCAGATCTTCTGTTGACCTCTCTAAAACATGACCACAACACCTACTCCTCAAAACTCTTTTTCTTCTTCTTCTTCTTCTTCAAGTCCCAGCATCAAGCCAAGATCTCAATGAAAAGAAAGTATCCACGAAGGTTTGTGCAATCAAAAATTCCGCCGATCAGGTACCCGAAGGTAACTGAACGATATCGTCGCCCCGATGTGCAATGGAGGACTCGTATCGCAACGCCGTTATGCTTGATCAACGGCCATTTCAACAAGGTAAGTATAGAGAGAAAAGAAAGAAGAAGAGAGTAACAGATTTGAGGGAGGTTGGCCTTATATATTCGTTGAACGAGGATTGTTGGAGCTAGGCGAAAATCCAGGCATACGTGTATCGTTCCACCAACCAATATATCTTAAAGTGGATATGTACGTATTAGGTATAGTACTTGAGAATCTTTTGGTCCTGTCCATGGAAATTCTATTACGAATGTGATTCAAATGAGCTGGATAAAGGCAAGTGAGTAAGTGTGTTCCGCTGGTACCAAGATTGCCATGCAACCGTGGATTCTAGACCTTTTGGCTAACTTGACCAACGATACCTTATAAGGTTAATTTCTAGGTGGGCACGTGGTCGGATCAGTGAGGCAGTGTTCTACGGCTGATTGATAGCAACGGTCGCTCAAGATGGAGAGGCCTGGTGGGCTCGAGACTCGAGAGAGGTTGATAACCAAGGTTCTGATGTTGTCTAATGCATGCATATGCTATTTATGCTCTCGTTCTCCACATGAAAGAATCCTGCCTTCCCACCTGGGTTTGCTCCATGCATACGAAGTACGAGTAATATCGACACTGATTTGGAAAGTTGTGCTAGAGCAGGCTCAAGGCATACTTCAATCTTTGAAGAAAGATGAAAGAGCCCCACTCACCACTTCAATGCCACGTTTTCTGATTATGTCGAATGATTTCACAAGGCCGTTTGAATGTTCGTCATTCCTTAGTAAGGCGACGCTCAGTTTCATGGCCACTCGGGCTATAGGGAGGTTCATCGTTTCACAGTCCCACGTTACTACGCGAGCTGCAATCACCTCCTAGACCCCGCGATGGACGATAATATTTACACCCAACTTGATACCAAGCTATTAATTATCAAATCTGCATATAATTTGAGGACTGTTGCTACATTGAATTCTGATTTGGGTTTGAATCATGATTCATTTACCATAGTTAGAACTTGAAGGACCATTTGATCATTGAATTTGAGCCAGGCGAGATGACTTTGATGGGTCACCGTTTTGACAGATCGAAGGGATACTAATTTTTCGCATATTGGGCAGCGGCTCTCAGAGCACTCCTCGATGTCCCATTCAACTTCTGCCGTATAGTCTCTTGTACAGTTCAATGAGGAGCATTGAATTTAATAGCATCTTGCCATGAATCCTAATATACCACATGAAGCATTCAAGGCCAATTTTGGAGTTTCAAATCGAAGAAGCAAGCAATGAGAACAGGTTTGTCGACGCCCGGTAGAGCACCATCGGCTCGCCAAAAGGGGGAGAAGGGGGAGAAGTTAGTGGTTTTTTCTCTCAAAGCGTTCGAAACTGTTTGTTTGTAGGGAAGGTGACAAGGTTTGGAGGAGTTGATAGTAGAGAAAACATCTATCATTTCATTCCTTTTATTGTATATGAAAAAAAGTCAATATCATACCAAATCTCGTCATGTCATAACCAATTTGATTGTTGACATATTACTTTGCCCTTCCAATTCCAATTCCAATTCAACCTGATCAGCTTTCACTCCATCCCCCATCTCCCCTCCATTCTACCCACGGCCCAAGCTCCTTCCCACCAAAATTTTCTCGGACTTTATCACTCCCAATCGTAATCGCGTCACCTCAACGCTAACCGACCACTTATCACTATCAACGCGCCTACTAATCTCAGTGTCTAACAAATCAATCAACCTACATAACATTCAATCTTGTCGCAAAACACTTAAATGGATATTGGATTAATGATATGAAATATTGAGGGACACTCGCACATGGCCAATCTATTGATTAGTATGTTTTGCGCATACTTACGATCGCCAGGAATGCGAAGTATCATGGGTGCTATTACTGACATTTGGGTTATAGCTCGACATGGCCGAGTTTACTTGAGAGGTTGATGACCAGATTGGAAAAGGTATGCTCTGATTTGAATTCCTCTTTAGCAACTCTATATTGTGCGCCGATAGCTAATTCATGATTCTAGATTGTCATCACCGATTTTCAAATTCCCAAACCTCCAACACACCCTCGCCCCTCCTCGCCTTCACTCTCCCCCAAACGCGATACCAATACTGAAGACCCTTTTACTACCTCCCAACCGTCGTTAGAATCTCTTCCACCAATCTGCTACAAGCAACTTCTCGATATCCAAAATACATTGAACAAGCAATTCCCAACTCACCCACCTCACACGATTCAACGCCTCTCCGAACTCCTACTAAATCCCACCCAACACCACCGCTCTCTTCCCTCTTACCTCCACGCACTTGATCGCGTCGTCCATGTCACATCGCCCATCACCTCATTCCCTCTCCCACCTGCCGTTCCAGACCCAAGAGTTTCTTCCTCTGTCCTCAGTAATGGAACCCCTCCATCTGTTGACCCTCTTAGCATTACCTGGAGTAATCCGACAACTGGAACCGCTCCGGTGAATGGAGGACTAGGTAGTGACGAAGCACTAGGAGGTGCATTATTGACTCCCATTAGTTGGTTGAATAAGCGGGAATCAAGCCTCTCACACACAGGTTCAAATGGCACGAATTCCGGAGGCGGTTCACCTCGTGGGGAGGTGCGAACAGAGAGTACCGAAACGATTGATGGACCGAATGGACCGGGTGGTGTTGAGACAGTTTCTGTATCCGTCAACGGTATTTCATCAGTTGGTTCTCACGCAATGATGTCGCTACTTTCTTCATCCCCATCTAGTTCTGGAGAACAAGGATTGCGAGCAGAAGGTGGAGTTACACAAGGAGAATTATTACGTCAGGAACAGAAAGTGGGGTGTTCAGCATCGCAATTAAGAATACAGAGGGAACCCGAGAGAGAAGAACGGACGGGGAAAGGAGATGAAAGTGGAATGGGAGAAGACGATGAGATGCCACATGCGCGGGGTCCAGAGGAAATTGGAATGGAAGACATGGGGCCTCAAGAACCGGGAAAAGTTCCAATGACTGGAGGCGGGATTGATGTTGAGGCTGCTGTGGGAAGGAGGCCGGATTTCACGGAGGAAAAGGAAGAGGAGAAAGGGAAGGAAGGAGAAGATGAGGGATCGAGTGGAAAGGAGGGTGAAGATGCAGACGGAGACGCGAACATGAAAATTGAGGCTAGGGATGACGATGAACGATCGACTACATCGAAAAGAGCAGCAGAAGACGATATTGGAAGTGAAGCTGGGGAAAAGAGGGTTAAAGAGGAGATGGATATTGAACCACAAGCAGACCCTGAGATCAAACCGGATGATGCCAAGGAAAAGGTAGTGCAAGGAGAGGAAGATACCAAGATGGAAACCGACTCAGAAACAGAAGCGAAGGCGGATCATGCAGACGAAAATGCAAAGGCAGAACCTGCCAAGGAGGAAACTTAAGAGATATGTTGATGAGTTTATAACCAACCCAAAGGATACCAGAGAGTGAAGAGAGTGGACAGATTTGAACAAAGTAGTGTAAACTTCCAAATTGATGATACTCTAGCTAGCTATCACGATGAGAAGGGTGAATATAATGAGTTGAGTATGAAATGGCATATTGGAAAGTACAAGAATGAAATGTGAATGTATTGGTATTAGTGATGAACCTGATCTCCCTCCTCGTCATTTCTCGCTAATCGCCTCGAATCGAACTTAGACCTCACTTCACAGTCTTTCCAAACTTCCCTCGGTCTTCTCTTTACTCTCCCTACTTACTTTTGCTTCATCTCACCTCAAAATCACACCTCACATCCTCACCCTCTCCCCTCAAGACACCTTCACATTCATCTCCATCTCCATTTCCACCGCTTCAAGAAAGACAGGAAAGACAACCAACCTACTTTTGTTGCACATCTGATTAATCAATTACCGTGATTTCTTCTAGATTACTCGATTGATTTTGCGACTTTCTCTACTGCTGTTTTGGCGACAACATGTTTTAACCTTCGCTGGGTATATATTGTACTTTGTTAAGTTTTGCCATTCATGATTGTCTAGATATGATATTCTAGACCCTTTCCCCCTTCCTGACACGATTGAGATAGAAACTCAACTCTTGATTTCAGATTAAGGATATCGATAGTGATATCGTTCATTCATTCTTCTATCCAAAGTAGAGTAGATAGTTTATGCTAATGTGTGGAGATCCCTCTCCGCGGCTCATCGCTATTCCATTGCTTGCACAATCTGAAAAATACACTTCAACAATCGTAACATGTATGTGTGTGTCCCGTAGCCCATATCCCATAAACGCCCTGTTCCGCCCCATCCCATCCCGTTCTTTAATGCCATATCCTAACATATGCCAACCCACCTAACCTTTCAGCCGTCCATATATAACCCAGAACCAACGCCATCCTTAAAAATAACTATTACTTCTCTTCATCAGAATCCCGTCCCCATTCCCACTTCCACCCCTTACCCTACAAGTAGATCTGCCTTGCCTCCTTCATCTGACTCTCAACTGGACAATATGGACACTTGAATCTCCCACCCTTACTCAATTTCTGCAAACTCTCCTTCGCAACCACATGGCCACAAGGTAACATCATTGGCGGATTAGATTCATTCGTTTGCTCCTTGCTGACCGGACATACGAAAATTGGATGGAATATCATGCTTCTCGGTAACGGTATCTCTACCGCAAGTTCTGTATCCGTTGTCCAATTCGTACGTTTTGTTTTTTGGATTGTAGCGAGTTTTATGAGGGTAGGGAGAGCGATGGCTCCGGCTGTTGCAGCGAGATAAAGCGGAGATTCGGCCGAGAGGCCAAGAAGCGAACAGAATTCGCGGGTGAAGGAGGTGCAGACGTCAGACCAGGAGCTGGAGGTGTCGAAAGTTTGTCGATAAGGGGATTCTTGAAGATTAGATTCGAAGACCATGGCTGTGATAAGTTGCTGAATTTCTCTGAGAAACCGGCTTTGAAATCGAGGAATTAATCACGAGCATACTGAAGTGCACCTGGTAGACCATTATTTTCATCATCTGGGAGACCGTTTGCCTCGGGACCCAGAAACAACCAAACAAATTGGAGTTTGCTGAGTTCGAATTCAAGATTACTACCTCGAGTTTCGAGTTCTCTGCTGTTCTTTTGTGCCCATTCTATTGCTGGGTGGAGGTTCCGCTCTTTGAGCTGGTGTAATATATTATACATGGTTTCGAATTCGCCTTGGAGTCCTTCCTCCACAGTCTCGTCCTCTGGCGCAAACAAATTTGGATCTGCTCCTGGACCCGAGCCATTCTTTTTCATAGTTTGTAACTCTTCGTAGAATGTTGATGCTACTCCGAATTGTCCTTCGCGTAAAAGGTGCATGGTGATAGCTCGATTTACGAGTTCGGTATGATTTGCAAGAGCATCGATTTCGTTAAGTAATGTTTGTTTTGGGAGATTCTAGGGAAATAATGGTCAGCTCAAGGTTGTGTGTAAGACCATAAGCATGCATCACTCACCGAGTTCACTGCTTTGCCGTAGGTACCATGTGCTTTATGGATCTTTTTTATATCATCATTAACTTTCTCGAAACCATTCTTCAATGGGTGCTGGAGTTTGGTTAAAGTTATGGAAGCGAATTGAGGTTCTAGATGAAGGTAACTGTTCAGTGATCATACATGGTAGTCAAAAAGTAAATGGGAGTGGAAATAGGGACATGCAATGTTTCCAGGTCCTCATGTCCCTAAGTTCCGCCGCCGACTTGCTTCTTCGGGGATTCTGGATATATGTACCTGATTCAATAGCATCTCTTGCTTTTTCCAGTTGCTGTATGATCTTGTCCACATCCTCAATACTTTGATCAAAGCTGGAATCCCTCTGCAGCTTAATGATCTCCTTCTCAAGAACATCCATAGCTATTCACCCCGCCTTGGCCTTTTCGATATAGGTATGTAATAATTTTGTCGATGTCGCTTGAAATGCTAGATGGAAGTCGAGTGTGAAAAGTCCGCAGTGTATTGTGTATGATAGTGGGAAAGGTATATGTAGACTCAGTGGTGTCAGTGTCGTAATATGGTAAATGTTATGGATTTGGATACGGTTCGTCGTCTGTAGGACATGTACGATATGATTGTCAGTTAACTTTGGCGGGTCTTCATCGGATTTGATACCTTTTCTAGTTACAGGTGAACCCTGGAGAATGATGATTTGTTAGGGTAGGAGGGTAGCTACAGGTGAATTTTACCCACTTATAGAAGGTGTTCAGGGATGATGAACACTCAGAGACCTACCAGGTAGGATGATGGATGACCTTATTAATCATTAATGACCTTGTTTCGCTTTCTCCCTTGTCCCGCTGAATCACAATCATAAATCACAAATCACAAATCACACGCGCACGTCTTTGAATGAACCGGAATGATGGCAAAAGCACAAAATCCCGATTGCTTTGGATGATTAATGCAACTCAAAGTTATGTGACTTCAGAACAAAAGAACAAAAAAAAGATGTACATCTATTCTTGATCATATGAAACATACTAGGTAGGTAGGTATATTGAGAGAAATTCCTTATATATATCATTTACCGTCCGTCTGCTGGGGAGAAAGAGAAATGCAATGAAGGTTTTCCCTTCCACCATCGACGTCACATCAAAGGACCCCAGTAACGGGTACCGCAGCACAGCGCAGAGCCTACTAGTTAGTGAATTGAGGGACCTAAAGGACAGAAGGGTGACAAAGGCATAAAGGGGAATAACATGTCTTTTCGTTTCTCTATTCCTCATGCATATGATCCAAATATGAATAGAGAGGATCTTTTGACCCTTTCCAGAACGACTTCTCATTCTTATAAAAGTGGTTCAACCTCTCAAGCAAAACAGAATGGTAATGCCAATGGCGCAACGAACACATCAAATGGCAACAAACCAGAACATGCGAAGCAGCCTTATGTATTCGCTGATCGGGTTGCTTTCAGGCATGAGAAAAATCTCACCATCAATTACGGGATTAGTTACTAATGCATGAATTTAACAGATATCTCGAAGAGGACAGCGCAACGGGAGTGATAGAACGTCACGGAGAACTCAGAGGCTACGAAATCTATCTTGTTGAGCAATGGGCATGTTCGAGAGTCCATCCTACTTTCGTTATTACGACCTATACAGGAGATGACAGACACAGGATTCAAGTAGGCGTGCTGGGGATACCTGCAGATAAGGAGACATGGAATCCGAGACTTCGAGTTTATTTCAACGCCATTTCCCAATACCACGCCAGGCCTAAGGACACGCCGTTGGGAACATTGATGGTGACAAATTTGAGCAGTTTTCCTTCTGGCCTAAATGTTATTCCTGTGCCGAATGGAGATGTAAGGAAGCATAGGGAAGATTTTATTGTCAACGAGAATTTGAAGAGGTTAGGATGTTCTGGACGATCCGGCATGAGTCTTCAAGCCCCGGCCGCTGCCACACAAGCCAAATTCTTCCAATTATACAGGACGAGCGATCGAATACCTCTCTATGGCGCTGTCATCGAATTAGTGAAACTTTGTCAAGTCGCCCTAATGATATTTGGAATATTAGAACAGGAATATGCGGACGGCTGTCTCTGCGACGTTACGGAGAGAGCGATAAATGATTGGTGGACCGAGATTGGATCCGAATACTATAACATTGAACCCTCCGATGGAATCTTGGGTCCGACTACTGTGGCCGCACTCCTAGGGTTACTCATGGGTGCTAGAAATCGACTCAACTACTATGGAGCCCCGGTGGCGAAGGACGCATTCGATGTTGTTAGTCTCAAGCGTGGTATTGCTTATTTTCAAAAGTCCCAGAAGATGGAGCGTACTAGGAGATTAGATAGGCCACACATTACAGGAGATTGCAATCAAAGTACTTGCGAAAGGTGCTGCGGGAGAAGGTTGGGCAGTTCCAAAAGCAGTCAAATCGACCCTTGCAGAAGTCAGTGGGAAGAGTGGTGAAATGGTTATGGGAATGGTTGGTCGTGATAAATCTGGTATTGCTGACATTGAAACCTGGGATTTAGAGCGCTTCATAAGTTTGATACACGGAGCAAGATCCAAATGGCTATGGTATGGAAAATCAAGACGGACGGGTGCCGATGATCACGGAAAATCAGAGCCCGCTGCGGCTCACATGTCATTTACAAAGGATGACCACGGCGGGTACATGTGGTCTCACAGCAGAGCTGATTCAATGCCACCAGAGGATGATGTAGATATCCGCAAGAAAGAAGTCTCCGATGAAATATACTCCGCACAGCCGCCAGGATCGGCCACGAGCATGTTGGAAACACCAAACGATCGAGAAATCCAACTCCATAAAGCTGTTTTCAAGAAAGCTACCGGCAAAATGAGTGAGGCTAAGCAAGGGTTTGGACGAATTAAGGATGCTGTTGGCCTACGCGGTCATAACAGTAAACAATCGAAAGACGAAATTCGTGAATTCGATGAGAACGGTGGTTATTTTAGCCCGGGACATCTGACTGCAACACCTCATGGAATGGGCACACCATCTAGCCCGACAATCAATAAAGCATTTAGTTGGAAAACCAAACCAGGAGAATATGAAAATGGGCTTCCAAAAACTAAAGACTTCGTAAATGGATTAGCGCAAGCTGGGCTACGCGAAAGTGATAGCGAATCACCCCCTGGCAATTCCAAGACAAGCTTACCAGGTGTCACCCAAATTTTAACTGCTACACAATTGGAGGAAAGGAAAGCCGTGGAAGCCGAAGAACAATGGCAGGCACAGGCGCAAGAAATTCGTCGTGAACTTGTCGCAAAGGAGCCTTCTATTTCAGGGTCCATTTGTGGCGAGGGTGACCTAGAAGGCCCAGTTCTAGAAGCAGAACGTAGTGATAATCATAATTTTGTGGCGATACTTCATCGTCGGCATAGTGTTTCCGATGCATCCCATTCTAGGAGACATCGTTACGAAGATCAATTACAGCGTCATGTGTCTTTCAGTGATGCCGAAGACGCTGTTCTAACCTGGGAACCTGTTGGTATTACTGACAAGTTTGACGAATCAGATGACTGGCTCGCTTTACAAAATCACAAATTACTCAACGAGGATTATAAACGAATATACGAGAAGATATTGGACCTTCAAAATAATCTATGCCCATGGGTACAGAGGAAAATCGACGGGATCAACCATTTAGACGATCAAGCAGCTCTTGACCAGGAAAGGTTTCAGGAGTTACACATGCAGTTGAGCGAAGAATACCAAGATTTAAGGAATAATACACAGGATTTCCTCGGTGAAGAACGATCACATGTTACAGAAACTCTCAAGGATATTGAAGTCCTTGGAGCCAAACTTGAGTACGAGCTCAATTCTCTTGTGTCAAAAGTACAGGATGTAGAGGATGGAGTATCTCAATTTGAAAGACAGGTAGATGATCTGGAGGCAAGAGCAGATGAACTGGAAAACATTTTTAGAAAGGAAAGTTGGGCTCATTGGCTTGTTCGCTCTATTACGGGAATTGGTACTGGACCAAATATTGTGGCACCAAGAAATCCTTGAATTTTATATCAACCTTGTTGATCCGAGGAGATTCATTTAGCAGGCGTTTTGGGAATACCCATCAAGCATTTATATTTATCTGAGCATGGTAGTATGGATTGGAGTTTTAGAGATGGGGGCAGTGGACTTAAAAAGCCACCTTGTGTGATCCTTATACCACATTCTATTGTACAATATTAACATCAATGAGCTTATCATCACCCAAAAATATTCTTCATAGCCTCGACGTATTCTGGTGGAGTCCTTTTCGTGCCTGCCTTTTCATCATAATGTCATCTTTGCATCATTTGTTTACCCAAATGGACCGGCTCAATAATACACAACTTCCTCAACCTCTCTTCATAGATATCTTTAACTTTACATTCCAAATCCACCACCTCCGAATCCACCACCACCAGCTCCCTTGGCTGCGGCCTCAGCTTGTAATAACTCGGAAATCTTCATTTGGACGTCGAAAAATTTGGATGCGCAGCGGTCGATACAGACGCCTTCGCCTTTGTTGAGTTCTCCCTCGCGGTAATCTTTGGGAATGCACTTTTTGATGCAGGATTGACTGAGTCTAGAAGCGAAATTATTAGCATGGGTTAAAATCATGCAGGTATTCCAAGTAAAAACGAAGCCATCCCCAGCTTCTGGGGCAATGACGCTCCGCTACCCCTCCCTGAGCCACTGCCGTGAAGGTAGATTGTTTGAGTATGGAATATAGCTATAAAAAGCCGAGTGCAACGAGCTGTGGGATTTTGGGGGTCTGCCCCCAATGATAAATGAATTCATTGACAACGTACTTGTTGAACATATCGGTAATCAAATCCATCTCTTGCTCAGCAGCAGCGATTTTCTCCTGCGAGGATGGTTGAGGACGACCCATTCCGAACATCGACATGATTGCGGTATTTTATGTGTGTGAAGTTGGGAGATGTTTTATTCGTATATGAGAGAGATGTATTAATATCGAATAGATTTGGGCTTCTTTGGTTTGATATCTTCGATTCAATCCTAGGTGGATGAACTTTGAAGGGAAAGCTCAACTAGCGTCGGTAAATCATTGTTCCGGAGATACACATTTTTTGGAAGATAAAACTCGAAGCTGAGCTTCGAATAATTCCATCAATTCCTTCGTCAACAATAACACTCTCTTATTTACCAACAATTGGTCTGAGAGAGTGTAATGATTAATTGGTATGTATAAATATTTCTTCCTTGCTCTATTGGCTCAATCCCACTATGAGTTTAATATGATGATTTCCATATAACATTAGAACCGTTGCGACTGACACCCTTCTTCGGGAGAGTGGTTGATCTCACATCGATCCGTTGTCTGAAAAAACTCAATATTTATATCTTCATTTGATTTCACATTGTTTTCTGTTGAATTTAAGCTAATTGAGTCGCTTTAAAGAATATAGAATGAGTTCACTTACTGGTCTTCGGTTTCTTAGACCCTACCTCTATCATGATATTCTTCCGGTAAAACCAGCTGCATATGCACGACTCTTTTCCACACATTACTCTTTACGCAGTGAGAGGTCGAAGAGGCCCTACTGCGAGACAGATGAGAGCATCAAGATTCCTAGAGTAGAGTTGAAGGAAGGTTTAGATCCCACCGAAACTAGGATAAAAAAACTTCAGTTAGCTGGCGCTCTTCAATATCCTAGAATCAAAAGGTTGGTAAATCGCATCGGTGTGAAAAGTTGTCTTGAGAATGTGCGGAAATGTTACCAGGTGTGGATAGTGATGAAGCCATTGCTCTTACGTTGCATGGTAAGGAACCATCTTCGAAGCAGAGAATGAATAGGAGTTGATTTTTGTAGGTTAGAATTGGAAGTATACGAAAGCTTGGCTCTAAGCTTGTCTTTATGAATATAATAGAAGATGGTTATTCAATTCAATTAGAAGCTGAATCTGGGATGATTCTCAAAAACCAAGATGTCAATGTGCAATCACTGATTTCCTTCGAAAACTTAACCTACCTGATGCAACGTGGAGATATGATTTGTGAGTGAAGATTTTATGTGTTTCATATTGTTTGTGAATCTAACATATAACAGCTGCAACTGGTTACCCGATTCGAAAAGAAAATGGATTTTCCACTCTCAGATTGATCGAAATACCTAGAGTATTGACTCCAAGTCTGGCACCAGTACCCGCAAAAAGTTGGAGATCCAGAAAGTCTTATTCGCAATCGACATTTGATCTTCTTGTCAACAATGATGTTGCTGCTATTTACGACTTCGGTCCAAAATCAACACACAATATCCGTGATTTCCTAGTCCAAGATATTTTTCTCGAATTTCAAACACCAATTCTTGCCGAAAAGGCTTCAGGTGCCATGGCTCAACCATTCAAAACGAATGCAACGGAGTTCCCCGAAAAACAGTTGACTCTGAGAATAGCTCCTGAGTTATGGTTGAAACGTTTGGTTATTGGTGGTTTAGATCGAGTTTTCGAGATTGGTCCTGCATTCAGAAATGAAGGTCTTGATGCGATACATAACCCGGAATTCACAACTTGTGAATTTTACAAAGCATATGCCGACCTCGAGGATCTTATTTCCATGACTGAGAAGTTAATTTCAGGCCTTGTAAGGCTTGTCAATGGGTTGCGTGATGATCCTCAACAAGTCAAATACATGCCTTTCGCAAATCTTCCACCCTTCGAAGAGGATCTATACACAAAACCCTTTAAACGAATCGAATTCATACCCGCAGTCGAAGCTGCACTTGGGGAAAAGCTACCAGATCTCCAGAAAAATGACGCCATAAACGACCTTCTCGAACTCTTTACAAAGCATAGTCTCGAAGTCCCCGAAAACCCAACCCTTCCTCGTCTCCTAGATAAACTTGCATCCCTCTACATCGAGCCCCATTGCTCAGAACCAACATTTATCATGCACCATCCTTCCTCCATGGCACCCCTTTCCAAATCATTCCTCGATCCCAAAACCAACCAGCTTGTCTCCGCGCGCGTGGAACTATTCATTCAGCATCAAGAGATAGCGAATATGTACGAGGAGGAAAATTCACCATTCGAACAAAGATATAAGTTCAGAGAGCAGTTGAAGTTTAAAGATATAGAGAATCCGATGGATAAAGTGGATGAAGGATATATCCAAGCGTTGGAGGTCGGATTACCACCTACTGGTGGATGGGGATGCGGAGTAGATAGATTGGTTATGTGGTTGAGTGGTTCGAAGAGAATCAGTGATGTTTTGCCGTTTGGCAATTTGAGGAATGTGGTTAATTTGGGAGCAGTGGGCAAGAGGGAGGTATAGATACAGACTCATGGGGGAAATGGATCAAAGCATATCTTGGGTAAAAATTCATTGACTAGGATGAATTGGGAACAGATCTGAAGAAAATCCAACTACAATTACCACTCTGTCCCCCTTTCCACCTCTCGTTATCTTCAACCAATTCATTTCCTCACTCTCATGACTTCATAACTAAAAGATAGCAACAGCATTTGGTGGACTCGCTACCCCACCAGGAAAGTTCAACGGCGCACTAGTGAAGAAGAAAGAGTATCGATTCTGCTTCGCGCATACTTTTGCCAATTCTTCGAGATTCCAGAGTTCTCCTATTGGAAAACCGCTTGGCAGGGAAGTCAGTTTGATGTTGACGTGGGTGGAGGGATGGAAAGATAGTAAATAGTCTGATGTTTGCTCGGGACTAGGGCGGAGAGCGGTTTGATTTGAGACGGAAGAGAAGGGGGAAAAGAGAGAAGTAAATAACATAAACTCACAACAAAGCCAACAACCAATCATGCAAAACCAACCCCGTATTTGCCTCTGGTGGCCAACTCTCAAACCCAACCGTATCACCCGCTACGGCAGAAAAATGTTGATTCCATATCCATTTCACTGTTTCTTCACATGCCTTCACGCCTACGAATTCATGGGCGTTTTTCGCACCTCGAATGCGCTCTTCGGTACTCGCCTCCTCATACCATTTCACAAACCCACTCCTCACAATCAAGATGTCCGCTTCTTTGAATACGACTCCTTGTTCCTTTGCAATTTTCTCGATTGTCTCAACACTAATTTCGTGTCTCGTGACCGGGGAATAGGAGATATTGTGGCGATGAGCGTAGGCTACATAGTCGATTAGGACGGCGCGTCCGACGATGCCGCCGCGGGTGGTCCAGGCGTCGATTCCGTTTTTGCATGGGGTTCCTGGGACGGGAGAGCTGATTTCGGAATGGGGCAGGTTGTTATAGTAGAGGGATGTGGCTTGGTGGGCCCAGTGACCTTCACGAGTCTTGTTAACTTGAGTTGGGAAGATTGGATTGTGGAGTGGAGGTGGGGGTGGAGAGGGGCATGCAGTGTATGTGATATGTTGAATGGAAAAAGGGAATGGGGAAGACGAACGAAATCCATCCCATTGAGAACCGCTTTGCGTATTGATGGATATCACATCATCATACGCTTTGATACCAAATTCAGCCAGATCTCGAATTGTGTGGTTCGGACTATCACGATTGAATCCAGGCTCGTGAATGCGGTCTTGAGACCAACTTTTTGAGAGCAAGCAGATGTTAGTATACGTGCATTATTATTTTCCTCTCCTGGTGATCATCGGATGGAAAAGTGAGGTACGGGATAGATAGGAAGGGGAAAGAATGAGAATAAGACACACTTCAATGCAACACTTCTGCCAGACTTAATCTCCTTGCTTGCTTCGAGTGTATTCTCGGGCGTGAGTAAATTTAGAGTACCACAATCATCTCGCTCGCCGTTTTTGTCAAAGAGACCCCATGCCGTTCCATGAGGCATTCCCGCGACTGGGGGCATATCTTTGAAGGAGGGGAGATCTTTGACATGCATTTTGGAAGCTGCTTCGGGTGAGTGGTTTGGGGATGAGATAGATGGAGCTGGAGTTGAGAAGTTGAGCTTTTGGAGGAGGTTATCGTTCAATATATACTTTTACAGAATATATTACAATGGAATATATTATAATAGCTGTGCGATAATCGTCGGCCTTCCGAGACTAATGCAGGTGACGAAAAGCGACACATGTATTGTGTTTATTAATCTTTCTATGATATCGATTTAAATACTCGTAGCTCTAGAATTGTATACTTTCTGGTTGTACAAATACTGTGTTTATTAATCTTTCTGTTATATTAATCTAAATACTCGTGCGACTGGAAAGTATATGATACTCCATCTAAATATGGGTCACCAATCATCTTGTATTTTACTACCTTTTGATATATGCATCTAGCTTGGGAGCTGTATACTTTCTGATTGTACGAGTATTGTGTTTATCGATCTTTCTATTGCATCGATGCAAATACATTCAGCTAGGAAGTGGATGATGCTTCATCTAAATATGAGTTACTAATCACTTCATTTTTTATTACTTTTTCATATATATACATTTAGCTTCGGGGTTGTATATTTTCTGACTTTGTTTATTGATCTTTTTATTGTATTAGTCTAAATACTTATATGGCTGGAAAGTACATAACTCTGAGACTGAGAAAACCAGGTTGATTGTCTTGCAGTTTATCATCTTGTGGTATATGCATCCAGCTTCAGAGTTGTACACTTTCTGGCTGCACGAGTATAGTAATCACGATTGGCCTTCTCGGTGAACAGAAGAAATGTGGATGGTAGCGCTATCTTAAAACCTGACGAAGTATAAGACTGAGCTCCTTATCGATCTTGAACATCAACGTCTGTTTGTATAGCTTGAGACGCATCGAACCCATCCCCCCACAAACTCGAAGTCATCTTCTTCTTGTCTGTAATGAATCAATTGTAATAAGAAGTTGAGCCGGAATTGGATTTTGCCTTTCCTTTCACCGCTTTTACTTACACCCCACATGCTCCAGTCCTCAATTCTCTCGTATCATTGTAAATAGTTGTGATGGGACAAAGTCAATACCAAATACCTAGGTAGTTCCATAAGCTATTCAACTAAGTCATAGAAGGAGTAGTGACGCATGGAATCTGGGCAACGGCTAATGACTTAATCATGACGTCGTTCAGTTTCCCACTTGTGCTTCTGCTAGAGTTTGCCCCCCCTAAATCCGGCCCTAATACCAACCCTGATGTATATATGCATAGCTGGTTGACATGCGTGGTGAGTATCATTGTTGAAATTATTCTCATGTAAGAAATCTAGACGAAGCACTCTATAACCAGCCAGCTACACCTCTTCTTTCAACTGCAACAATCATGCCCAGAGTCTTTTTCATCACTGGTACTTCTACCGGGTTCGGAAACCATCTCGTCCAAGAGGTTCTCGATAAGTAAGCTCTCTTTGAAAAATGCTGTAAAATAAAGCTTAACTGATCTCAACCTAGAGGGGATATCGCCGTCGCAACTGCTCGTAAGCCCGAGACTTTAAAGTTCGAGGGGACAAGTGAAAAGGTACTATCTCTGCCACATAAGATGGAGCTCTCTAATACAGCAGAACTTTCTAGCCCTCAAACTTGATGTAACTAGTCAATCTGACATTGAGAACTCTTTCAAATCCGCAACCGATAAATTTGGCCGCGTCGATGTAGTCGTCAACAATGCAGGATACGGCCTTGCCGGTGTCTTTGAAGAAGTCAGTGAGCAACAAGCTCGCACTCAGATGGAGGTAAACTTCTTCGGCCTTCTTGCCGTGACCAAAAAGGCAATGGAGGTAATGCGAAACCAAAAGCCATGTGGCGGCCTCATTCAACAAGTCACTAGTATTGGAGGTCAAAGAGGCGTGCCTTTTTTCAGCATTTACTGTGCAAGTAAATGGGCAGTCGAGGGCTTCACTGAAAGTATTAGTCAAGAAGTGAAGCCGGAATGGAACATCAAGTTCACTTGTGTTGAGCCAGGTGGATTCCGAACTGATTGGGCTGGAAGATCTATGCAATTTCCCGAGAAACGAAACCCTGCGTATGATCATCTGAATGCCAAGGAAGCAATGGAAAAGAGGAACGGCACTCAAGCTGGAGATCCAGAGAAAGGTGCGAAGGCAATGTACAAACTTGCTACACTATCGGATCCACCTTTGCGAGTAGTGATTGGCAGCGATGCTTATAAGGCGATCATGGCGAAGATCGAGGCTTACGGGGAGAATTATAAGAAGTATGAGGAGATCTCTAATAGTTGCGACGTTGGCGAATGAGTGATGACATAGTCGAATTGCCTGATATACTATTAATTTGTAAAGATAATATGTATTATACCAACGTTTCCAACTGAACCAAGAGCATAGTGGTGAATCATGATGGATGTGATTGGAATCCTGTTGAGCCTCCTCTTATGAAGCCATCCGCCTTGGCAAAAATCATGTGTCATTCAAGAAACTCACGAAGACCTACCTTCCTAAACAACAAACGAAAAAGGCTCTCATCGTACCTTCCTTCGATCATGATTCTTCTTATCCGAAAGACATCACTTCGGAGGTTCGGACATGGATCAGCCGATGGGACAATTTAATACAGTTTAGGTAAACAAAGTGGAAGGCTTGAAAAACTTTAACATTTGAGATCAACTTCTTTCTTTTGCGGCAGTCAACTGTGAAAATACTGGTACGACTTTGTTGCCGCACCTCTTTTATACTTGCTTTGTGCTTTACAAATTATACTCCCAGAACTTCATTTTTGTACTTGATTGTTTTCTACCATGGCATCGAGTGAAGAGCTTAGCGGACTCAATACAAATTATCATGAACCAAAGAAAGGCTCTCCCTGCTTGACTATCTATGAGCTCTATCAAGTCGAACAGTATGAAGCACAGGAGTTATTCGAGTTTGAACAATATGTCAAAATCATTCGATTTGCTGAAGCTGTGTGCTCTGGTACTCATCCTCGATTTGGCGTTTTTCCTCAATCTGACCCTAGAGCGCACATGACGGTAAACACCGGTCACATAAAAACATACAATATAATATAAGCTAATACTGGTTGTTGATTCCAGGGCGCGGAAGCTTCTATGGAGGTGGATGTTGAGTTTAAAAATAATGGCTTTGAAGAGCTCAAAACTACGACAGGATTGAACTCCATGCCAAAAGCAGGCAAAAATACGAGAGAAAAGGGATACGCTGAACAGAGTATAATCAGCGCAGAGGATTTGCATGGAGCTCGGTATATTCATGATCCAGACATGGACTGTTATGAGATATTATCGTTGGATTCATCTGCCTCGATTGAGGACATAAAGAAGGCATACTCTGAATTGAGTATGTCAATATGATTGATATTTATTCAAACTCTGCTGACAACTTCAAGGACGGATTCATAATTCAGAGTCCGACGAAGGAAAAACGAAATGGCGCGGAAAAGAAGCGACAATATCACAAGATATGAAACAAAATTGGAACAACATCGAGCGTGCATTCATTATACTATCGGATCACGAAAGGAAGTGGAGCTACGATATTGATAGAGAGCTGCGCCTGAAGGGCTTTGAGCGAAAAAACAAAAAGCCGGATGAGTCGCTAGCACAAATCCAGTTCGCTGCCTTTCGCGAGGAAGTAGTTCGTTCAATAGGAGCGCCTCATTTTGACGACCCCCCCGAGCCATATAACGAAGATTTCTTCAAAAGTGTCACCAAAGGCATTGTCGTCGAGGAGAAAGACACACAACAAATTTCGAAGGAAACTTTTTCTTCGAAATACGACCCTTTCGCGATCGATTTAGATTATAGTTATTAAACCAAATTGATTGCAATTACCCCCAAATGATTCTGACTAGTAGTTATTGTAATACTATCGTCAACACTTTAAACACAAAACTCATACGAAAATTCGTGTAAAATTTTCATTCCAAATCTCCAAAATAAGAATATAACTTTCAATATGAATTATCTTAATAATTCATCAATACTTCGGGATATAGTTATAATAAAAACTTCTTCTAAAGCCTTTATTATACCAAATACTTATTCTATTATTATTCTAGGTATTCCAATATCTTCAAGCCCTCCCCTGTCTTCTGAAAACCCCCAATTCGAAATCTCTAGCCCCATTCTATCAACCAATCAGCCAATCAGTTTTGAAAAAAGAATTAAAGAGTTCAATCTATTTAGTAATCTCTTCATTACTCAAAATACAATCAATACTATCTATATATTCAATTAGAATAAGAAATATAACCCTATAATACCCCTTAGCAATTAGAACAAACAACTCAAAATACAAAACAAACCAACTATACCAAAAAAAACAATCCTAAAAGCAAAAGATCTTATATTATTAGTATTCACTCTCATTCAATCATATAACAAACAATCTAAGCTTTTAAACCTTTTTGAAATCTTCAGAGAATATATTGAAAAGGGAAAGCTTACTACAATCTTCAATATTATTGCATCTCAAATCACTCACCTCAAATCAGCTATACAGAAGATCGAATCGTAAGCTAAAATACTAGCCAAAAATCCAATCCCAATCATTACAATACTAACTAAACCTAATTATACAATTATAGCAAAAGAAGAAGAGTGGAATCTAATTAGTAAAGGAAAAGCTATTAAGCCTATTCCAATAAACAAGAAGATTGAAATCACTCAAAAACACCTAATCCTAATCAAACCAGAGATTATGAATATTACCTTCTTCTTGCCTATATCAATACGAAACCAAATAAATAAAGCATTTCAGAAAATTAGAATTAAAGGCCTGGTTATAGTAGTAATAACCCTATCGCTGAATAGTAATATAATAATTACTACAAATGCTCCTTTTACATCACAATTTCTATTAGAAAAGAAGACAATCTGAAGCAACCTTATCAAATTCAAAAGGATTTAAAAAGATCAAGAATAGTATAAGGTTATTATTCATAAAATACCTATAAAAGAATTCTCAGGATCAAGAGGAATGGATCTTATTCTTGAAGAAATCAAAACCTTCAATCCGGATTTCAAGTCTATAGAAATACCTTTTTAACTTATATCAGTATCAAAAAGAGCCTATCAATGGGAAGGAGCAATAGTGATTGCTTTTACAACAAAATCAGAAGTAGAGCTAGCTATTCGGAAACGACTATATATTGCTAGCATTAGTATAAGAGTAGAAAAGTTCTACAAATCCAAATTAACTATACAATATCAAAAATGCCAAGGATTTGGATATTAGGATACATATTGTAGAAGGAATCCCTTTTGTGGATTCTATGGGGGCAAATATATAATATCAGTATATTTGTGTGTAGTCTGTAATATCAAAGGAAAGTTCTGTTAATACCTAATTGCCAAATACTCGAACTGCTAAGAAAAGCATATAGCAAATTCAAAAACCTGCGAAATCTATCAAGCAATTTAATAAAAAGCAGATAACACTAATTTATAAGTTATATTAATGTTCAGTGGTAGAGTGATCGGGTCACTCTCCTATTGTTCTACAACTTATGGCTATAGCGATCTGATCCACATGGATCCACCCTATATGCCGCCTCATAGGCCACCTTAGTGTGGACCTCCTGACACAGCTTTACTGAGCTCCGACAATCTACCACTAACCCTAATAGAGCTTTTCTATTATAGGCCGCAAAAGCGATCAATCGAATACTGAAAGGGAACTGATCCCCCCTCCAACCACTACTACTACACTTATGCACCACTTCGCTACTCAGCGGAACCATCATTCCGGCTACTCCTCTCGAGCAGCCCAATAGCTGAATCCTCTACTCCCATAAAGCACCATCACATACACACCTGCTTCTTTGAAGCAACATACCTGTATACACACTGCTCCTGCCCATATGGTTTTATAGCAAGAGTAATCATACAATCAGAGCACTCCTCTCTACGAGTAGCAGGAAGCGCTAGGAATATAGGGCCGATCAAACAGCCCTATTTGCAAACATTACACTGGCTTGTTTAGGATATATAGAAGGAACTGGGTTTACCCTATGAGGTTTTACTAGCATACACATCAGCGCCTTTCTGTATTTGTAACTCTAGATCTAGCCACGTCTTTCATACCCCTAGGGAGGTCCCCCACAAGACGTTAATCACTATAAATAAAATAAATAAATAAGTTATATTAATATTCGAATTCTTCAAATAAATCTTAACAGGAGTTTACAAGCTATAGAGAATGTTCTATAGCTTGTAATAGAGCTTAACATCAATCTTATTATGATTTAAGAATCTTGGATTATCAAGAATGAAATCGATTATTCAAATTCAAAATCTATTATACATTTCAATTTCATACAAATACTATCAAGATTTGATTCAAATCATCGATTATGTATACTATTATACATATCAAAAACTCTTTAAGCTACAATCAACCTAGCTTCTAATTCTCTAATAGATTCTGATATACAAATTTTCAATTATCAAAATAAAAACAAAACCTTTCAAATTATTAATATATATAATAAAGCTAATCAAATTAAAAAGAATGATTTCATAATCGAAAAGTGCTTGTATAATATATCTATCATACAAAATATTATCCTCTTAGATAACTTCAATACCCATTACCCATAGTAGGATCCTTTTTTCAAGAAAAGCGGAAATACTAATTAACTAACTAAATAGTTTGAAGATCAGAATCTTATTCTTTTAAATGAGCCTGGAATCAGTACCTTTTATTAAACTAATCTTCTTAATTCAAATATCCTTGATCTAACATTAGCATTAAAAGGAATCTCTTCTCAAATTTATAACTAGCAAACGCTTTCAGATACAGGATCTGACCATACAGGAATAATATTCGAATTAAAAAAAAAAGAAGTCCCAATTACCCCTAATACTAAATCGACAGCTAAATACAATACTAAACTAATAAATTGGAAAAAGTTTGAATCAATACTCAAATCGGAATCCTTATATTCCCCTATTCTTTTTACTTTAAACTTAATCACTTCAATTAAAAAGGATTCCTTAAACTTCTTGAAAGATAAAGATAATTACTATTCAATTCTAGATCAAGCAATAAGCAAACTTACGAAGATTATTCAAAAAGCAACTGAAAAGTATATACTCAAAATTATTTCAATTAAAAAAGCTAAACTATAATAAATACCTGAATTGAAGGATCTTCGAAAAAAGCTAGGAAATATAAAGCAAATAAGTAAATCAAACCCAAAAAACCTTAGCTTTAAGAAAGAATATCGAATTATTAGAAATAAATACTTTCAAGCTATTAAAACAGTAAAGAAAAATCATTAGAATGAATTTCTAGAAAAGAAGGATATACAGACAATTTTCAAAGCAATAGCTTATATTAAAGACTTTCAAGATCAAAGGATACCGGATATTTCAATAGAAAACTCTTTCAAAGAAAAATGCTTTACTTTTAGATCGACTCTATTTCCACTCTCTTCTATTACTTCAAAATCATAATGGAAAAGGTATAAACAATTCAAGAAATAGGAATGGCTTAATCTCTCTCAAACCGAATTAAGCAATGCTTATTTAGCCAAGATATAAGGAAAGACTTCTAACCTAAATGAAATCACTCAAGAAATCATTATAAAGGTTTATAAAACAATTCTACAAATCTTTTTTATTCTTTTCAGCAAATTTCTTAATCTTGGATATTACTCTAAATGCTGGAAACAAGCTACTAAAGCTATTCTAAATTTATTTATTTTTTTTTATTTATTTATAGTGATTAACATCTTATAGAGAACCTCCCTAGGAGTATAAAAGACATAGCTAGATCTAGAGTTACAAATACAGAAAGGTGTTGATGTGTATATTAGTAAAACCTTATAGGGTAAACCCAGTTCCTTTTATATATCCTAAACAAGTCAGTATAATATTCGCAAATAGAGCCATTTGATCAGCCCTATATTCCTAGCGCTTTCTACTACTCGTGGAGAAAAACGCTTTGATTATACAATTACTCCTATTATAAAACTATATAGGCAGGAGCAATATGTATACAGATATATTGCTTCAAAAAAACAGGTGTGTATATAATAGTACTCTATAAAAGCAAAGGATTCAGCTATTGAATTGTTCAAGAGGAGCAGCCGGAACAATGATTCCGCTAAATAGCGGAGTGGCGTATAAGCACAGTAGTAGTGGCTGAAGGGGGGATTAGTTCCCCTTCAGTATTCGATCGATCGCTTTTGCAGCCCATAATAGAAAAGCTCTATTAGGGTTAGCAATAGATTGTCGGAGCTCAGTGGAGCTGTGTCAGGAGGTTTATACTAAAGTAACCTATGAGGCGGCATATAGGGTGGATCCATGTGGATCAGATCGCTATAGCCATAAGTCGTAGAACAGTAGGAGAGTGACCCGATCACTCTACCACTGAACCAGCCAGGCTCCTTGCGGAGGACAATGGTCTTTTTGTCAAAAAAGCTATTCTAAAGAAAGCCTCAAAACCTGATTATTCACTTCTAAAAGCATATAGAGTAATTACACTCTTAAACTATCTTGAAAAAATTAGTAAAAGGATTCTAGCTTAACAATTAGGTTTTTTAGTAGAAACTATTTACCTTTTATATAAGAACCAAATGAAAGGTTAGCAAAAGAAATTAGCAATTGATATTATATTATTATTAATTACAGAAATCGAAAGAAATAAGTAAGTTAATAAGAAGATCTTAATATTATTTATAAATATAAAGGGAGCTTTTGATTATATTTTAAGAAATCGATTATTGGATATCTATAAGAAGCTAAGACTATCAACAAATCTTATCTCCTGAATAACTTTATTCCTATAGTAGAGACAGCTGAAGTTATCCTTCAATAGCTAAACCGAATCCTTCAAGCCAATTTCAACCGGAATATCATAAGGCAGTCTAATCTCCCCAATCCTTTTTCTTATATATATTAGGAACCTCTTCCTATTCAATTCAGTAAAGTTTCTTTCTTATATAAATAATATTATTCTAATCACCAATTTATTCACTTAGAAAAAGAATATTAAATCTTAGAAAGAGCTACAAAACAAATCTATGAATTCAGTTCAAAGAATTCTATTCAATTTGATCTGGCGAAAACTAAGCTAATACACTTTTCGTCATCAAAACTAATGAAAAACTACCCAATCACACTACCCAATTTCAAAACAATCATATTTCAATCCCTAATTAGATGATTGGGAATATGATTCGATCCAAACCTCAAATTCAATCAATATATTAATATTCGAATTATACAAGCCAAAGGAGCCTTCTATTGAATGGCCCGATTAGCTAATATCGAAAAGGGCTTTAGTTCTAAAGCTCTTAGATAGCTATATATAGTATATATGATTAGCATAGCTGACTATGGTTTAGTGATTTGATAAAAAGGTTAAACTCATTTCAAGAATATAATACAATCACTTCAAAACCTAGCCCTTCACAAGATATTAGGAGTATTCAAAACAGCTTCAATCAGTTCAATGGAAGTAGAAGTTGGCCTAAAATCTTCCAAAATCCGATTAGATTAAATATCAGATAATATGCTTTTCGATTAACTAAATCATTATCAAAATATCCAATCAATATTGAAAAAGAAACTTCAGCTCAATATCAAGCCGATTTAGAAATAATCCCTATACCTTAAAGAAAATAATATAAATCTATTCAACTAAATAAAATCAGAAAATCGATAAACCAGAACTTCAATCCTTCCTCACTTAAAAAATCATTCACTTTAACTTCCCTTTATAAAAAAGAGATATCCCCTTCAAAATCAATATTAGCAATTCGTTAAAAAAGATACTATTATTCTTCATAATATTATCTTCAAATACAGGGATAAGGATACTACCTATATTATACTAATACCTCCTCCACTGAAAAGGGAATTGGTATCAGAATAGGCATAATAGCTATACAATCAAATAATCAAATTCTATATTAAGAGCAAAGCAATATTGATACTAATCAATTAATATATAATAAAAAGCTTTTTAGAATTACAAAAGCTATCAAATATACTAATTCCATTACTTACAGTAATCAAAAGTTCAAAATCTATTCAAACAATCAAGCTAATTTATACCATCTAAAAACTCCTTCAAATCATCCAGAACAAGCCTATTAAATAAGAGCAATCAAAGCAGCAAAGGTTATCAAAGCAAAAGAAGCCGAAATCTCGCTAAATTGAGTTCCTAGTCATACCTCAGTTGAAGGAAATGAGCTAGCAAATAAGCTAGCCAAGGAAGCAACCACAATACAATCCATCTCAAACAAAACAAGCTTTGGACTATTAAATATAATTGTTAAGGAATATACTTCAGATTAATAGCTTAATACCCTCAATCAATACAACTCAAATCAAACCAATCTCTATCAACTTACTCGAAACTATTTTCTTAGAAAATAGGCTCGAAAATCAAGTTATTAAGCAGAACCAATTGAAACACTACTAGCACATTCTTTCAATTCAAATTAGGTTATAGATATATCAAATCCTATTTATATCGCTTTAAACTTTCCAATAACAAATATATATATAATAATATCGAGACACTATAATATCTCCTTATTAGCTGCTCCATATATAAAACTAAAAAAAAAGAAATCTTTAAGGAGATATCTTTATTCAAAATCACTATACAATTCCTACTTCATATCAAAATTGATATCGAGTTAGTCATCAAATTCATCAATATTATCAAAATAACTATAAGGGCATAATATCTAGCTAAAGCTTTGATACAAAACGAAATAGAAGAAAGAGAGATAATAAAAAAAGAAAAAGATATAATAATAAAGAGAAAAAGAGTTATTATAGAAATAGAAAGAATAATAATTGAAGAAAAAGAAAAAGAAGAGAGGAGTTTCTTGCTAATTTCTTGAGTATTATATTTTCCTTTCCTTATTATATGCAATGTGTATAATAAGCAAACACTAGTCCCCAACATTTGTTTTCACTTCCCTAAATCGAATATATCCATCTTTGTAGAATAAAAAGTTACCTGCTAGAGCCTCTAGAGGCTTAGCCGTCCTATATAGTCTTAGACTGAACGTGGACGTAAATGAAATCAATCAATCAATCAATCAGTCGAGGAGAAAGACATAAACTATGATATAAACTATTATCATGATCTGGGCGCTAATGACACAAAGAAGAGCTCATCGTGGAATGGAGTCATCAGTAGACATCATTTGGGGAGCCTTTTGCGAAGTATGGGTGAGAAGATAGCGATCACTCTTTTACAGACGATAGGGTACTAAGCGAGTTTTAGGTCATGACTACATCCGTAATCTCAGACAGGCCAAAAATCAGAAGGCTATGGACAAGGTGCGCTCCGAATGGAACCAGAAGCTAATCTCTTACATGATACTGAAGGATGAGAAACTTCGTCGGAAATACAATGAGCACAACCACAGCTATAAGTTCTACGAACATTTGCAAAAAGAACATGACTCCAAGGAGCTTGAAAGAGTGCACAACTCACCAGTTCTAGTATCAGAGAAGATGGAGCTTCGTGGCAAGAGTGTTAGCTTTCAGCCAGCTACCACAGGTTATTCCTTCCGAAAACTATCCACAGAGACGAATGATGTTTTTATGGAGGGTGTTTCGGATGATGGAGCTAGTGCTTCTGATACGCTGACCAGAGTGGAACAAAATACAGAGATAGATTACTCAGTGGCTATTACATCTTCTGAGAAGCTCGGCGATCGTGTTCAAGTAAATCCCCATACTATCACTGACCGTCTTCCCAAATTAATGTCTCAAGCCTTTTCCATTGGTAAAATCCCACTTCAAAATAAACTTACTAATCAAAATGCCGAATTATTGACTGACTCACTCAAATCTTCTACACTGCAACGCAAATTGTTGCAGACTCGGGAAATTCAAGCACAACGTGTAGTTCAAGAAAAGAAAGCTCCATCAAAACTTTCAGTTCAAGTAACAGAGCGAAGTGCCAAATTTTCGAAGGAAGCTCGAACCCAACATCCAGCTGTTCAAGATCAAGTGCCCAAAATTCTGCCTGATCAACAGGCTTTCGTCCAAAAGCAACTTAATGCGCAACGAGCCGCTGTACAAAGTGCGGCTTTGCATCGCGCAGAAATTCAAAGATCCTTGGGTTTAGACAGAGCTCCTCCAACTGGTCCTCGAATTCCGTTAGGTATGGCTCCCCGCTTGATGATAAGTTCATTTGCACACAGCTTGAACTCCACTTCGCTGTCGAAATCATGCCCACAACTTGGGTTGAAGATAATTCCTCCTCCCATGATCAATAAAGTTGCTGAGATCACGGGGTCTACATTACAGCTGTCGAAAGGCAGCAAGCAGGGCCCAGCGAAGAAGAAGCGAAGGGTCCGGGATAAAGAGTCTGATGGAAAGAAAGAGATAAGAAACGTGGGTAATGGAGATGGCAGTGGAAGCGGTGTTGATGTAACATTGCAGGATAAAGGGAGGGCGAAAGAAGACCGAGGGGAGAAGAGTAGTTTGAAGGAGGACGGGGAAATATTAGAGGATGATTGATTGATTGATTGATTGATTGATTGATTTTATTAACGTCCTTTTTCAGTCCATGACTATTTAGGACGGCTAGGCTATAGGGGCCTAGCAAATACTATTGGATATCTACAGTAGATATATTCAATTTGGGGGAGTAAAAACGAATGCTGGGGAACTAAGCCCGATCTCTATTCGGAATACAAATAGAGATAATTATCTTCATCCTCTGAAACACTTCCTTCCTGACTCTTCCCCTCCCCTAATCCAATTAAAATATCCCAATATTCAATTTCTCTTTTTTTAAAATCCTAAATCCAATTTGCTATTCCTCCCTTTCTATAAAAGACAAGAGTTATCCCCTTCTGAGTTGCCTTCAATATAGCAAAGTGTTCTCTTGCTAGTGAGGTAGCAGTAGAAGGCACTACTCTTCTCTATCTTTATTTCTTTTAAACTAGCTTCTTATATATTTTTATAAGCTTGATATTCTCTAGTTTTTATTAAATGTGTATAGTCGAAACTATTGACAATAATAGGACAAAGCTGAGCTCTAAGCCTATACACAAATCAATTCGGAAAATTCGAAAATTTGAAAATTAAAAGGAAAAATGTTATATTGTATTGATGCCCAGAGTATAGTATTAATTTGAAAGTAATAGCATTCTCTATATTGTGTTGTTGTAATATTCGAATAACTGAAAGCCAAAGGATATAAAAAAAGGGATTGTAGTATGAGTAGAGCGATGGTAAGCTCTATATCAAAAAGACTCTTTTAAAGAAAAGAGATCTACTACATATCTTATTTCTATAAAGTAATAATCGATAATAGATGTTGAATCTAACCGGGGTTTCTGTAACCTTTGTATCCGCATCTAAAGCTGGTATTCAACTCTTCATAGATATTGTTATTGTAAAATCGTAATATAATCCTTCGCTATATCTCTGATACCTCTCTCCTTCCAATTCTTCCAATTCCATCTGCGACTCAATCTTAGCTCTACAGACTCTCAAGAGAGAGCTGGAGGTTCGTAGGATGCACCGCGTACAGGTGTTGAGTCTTCGCATCCCTATTAGAGGATGAGAGAGGGGGCGAAACCGGTCGGAGACAAAGCGGAAATAATGGAGTTGGGAGAGATAGTAGCGGAAAAAAGCGCAAGAGAGAGCACAGGAAAGATTCATGACGCCCTGCTAATATAGGGTGCAGTGGAGAGATATGTGATAAAGCCACAACGGGGCCTCTTTTCTATAGGCGACATTACATACACAGATATGAAGGAGACTTGATAGGCATGGTTGGGTGCAGAATTGAAGAGATTGCGGTTCAATTTGGGATCATTGAAATTTGAACTTTACATGGATTGGCATAAAGTTGATCTAGGCTATGTCAAATATGGAGTACCACAGTCTATTTCATTCGGCACAATGAATTACAATTAATCCTAAATACCGTTTCAGAAATATTGATTTGACCTTTTGGTATCCACTTGTCATTTTGGGTAGACCAAGCCAAATTCTGAAATCGGCATTTTCTCACGCTTATAATCATAATGCATGATTCTAAATCAATCATTCTGTTATGAAAAAACATGTTTCCCATATGACTACGGTTTCGTCATACAAAATATTTCAACCCAAAAGTAAAGATAGTAACTTCATGAGTGGTTCCAAGGGCATTTGACTCGAGCACGTACATTGAAACATCAATTTCATCTCAGCTTAGTCAAAGTCATAATAGTCCTTGTGGTATGATTCTCAAGATTCACCAACATCGTTCAACGCACGGGAAGTCAAAAGTTTTCCCACCTAACTACGGGAAGAATTGTTATATATCCTTTTGATCTGCGTGGGAATACCTTTGATTAACCACTAAGTCGGTCATACTCGATATACAGATTCAGAACATGGAAACTCTGGGATAGGTTCAGCTAATCTGTCCTGATAATAATACTGTATGTATCACGCCATCGAGGATAGTAAAGGACTAATGGCATTAGTGCACTGGTTGCTAGACCATCGAGAAGACGATACTTGCTAGCCAACATCATCCATATCCAACGAAACAAGATGTGTATCTTGAGGCTCTTCTATTGTGGCGTTTTTCCTGAATTCAATAAACTTACGTATTTGGCGCGGTTCTGTCCATCTAATAAGATCCCTCTTAGCGAAATCCCTGACACACACAAGTTCCTTCACATCGAAGTATTACATCGAGCTGCCAGATGTTACAAAGCGCATACATGGCATATGGGCGGCACCACGTGTCCTGGCTGGGTTGAGGGAGAGGAAGAGATGTTACTCACGCAAATGGCTGATGAAGGTGTCAATATTCTTAAAGCTTTTGACAAGGCCTTCGAATATGATCATGATAATTGTTGGATTAAGGAAAAGGTATGGAAGCGTGGAATGAGCTTTGCAGAAGTCATCCACCAGGTAAAGATGACCTTGACTGGAAAGAAAATCAAAAGGAGATTCAAGGTAGATGAACGACTCGGATGGACGAAACCTTGGATAAATGAAACCTCTCTTGCGGAACAGGAACAAAATACCCCCAACTATGACATAGTCCAGGAAGTTTATGATCAGAAGCATTTGGCAGTTCTTGATCAAGAGTCATCGAAAGCTTGTGCGAAATTTTAAAAGAGCTGGCGGAGAAAGGCTTTAGAGTAGATCCTTCACTCATTTCTTATGGAGACTCGACCGAAAAGGACGATAAGGAGTGAGCAACTTCATGATAGGAAAATGGTGCTATCATCTGGTATGAATGGGTCAAAAATTGTGTTTTAACAATGCGTTGCTTTTCACTGGAAGATCACAGGAATGATCGAGCTAGTTTATCAGTTGCCGTACTGAATTTGAGATACTAGTATTTAGTATCTATTCGCATGAATTTTCTGAAGAGGAAAAATTGATTGGCTGCTTTGGTGTGGATAGTCTGAAGTATCTCGCTGTAAAAGAAATTCCAAGGTGATATTCTCAATAGACATTGTGACTTGATTTCTTTCTCATCCTCTTGAAACCAGTGCGATGATCATTTCCAGTAACATGCATCCCATCTAACGAATCAGTCTCAGAGTACTTTACATCTGATAAAATCCAACGATATAATTGACAGCCATCATTCCAGATAGTTTTGAGATTTCCAGCAAGCAGTTGCTCTGCCATAACCCAGTGTACTGAAGAAAGCCACACCAGACCAAATCTGAAGTAATCACTAGATCGTGAGAATAACTCGGTATAGAGCATGAATGACTACACTAGAAGCTTCTTAAATTCTTTCCATCATATGTTAGAAGGCACTGAAGGGCAAGTTGCTTTTCCTTCGATCGTACCGAAGTGCATGTGTGCTGGCAGTTGTTCCATCATGACCGACAATAAAGAATCGCAGCTTTTAGGGTACTAAACTGGGAGTGTAGAGATCTACATGGTAGATTATTGGTATTAAGCTACTTTGGGGTCAAGAGTGCCAGTGACTTGGGATTGCAGTTAGTATTATGATTAGGAAACAAATGATTGAGGACAACCAACGATGGAGGCCAGCTGTACTTGAGCAAATCAATTGATCGCAGTTTGCACTAAGCTCTGGTGGGTGATCTTCCTCCTTGTAGAGATCGAAAGATCAACCCCAAACGAAGGAGAAATGTAAAGTTGTCGTGATGAACTAGAATTCCTAGACAATAAAAATTCAAGTCATTTTGTTGTTTGCTCACCTCGGCAATTTTGCTAGCGAGGCGCTCTCCTGAGCTCTTTCCACCTTGTTCTCGGCAACAAATATAGAGTTTTCTTGTACGTTGCACACCATAGAATACCAAAATAAAACTTTTGGACAAAGCGTGTTTCTAATTAGTAAATGAATTATGTTGACGTCGCATCCTGAGTGCATCCATTGTTAATGGCATGTCCGACTTCAGCCGTTCCGCCTGCGGTTGCAATAGTAGACCACCACATCTGATAGGCTTAGGAGAACAAGGTTCTGTCTTTTAGGCTCATTCGTATATATTAATTGTAAACACGCTCACGTGACACTATCCTCCTCAGTACCTAGCTCGAGGGCAGCTTGGCTTAAAACATCGAGGATCTGATGGATCTATCATTAATATTACAAAAGTAGAATAAGGGCTCATTCGGATCAAAAAAAAATTTGATATTAAATCAATATATTAAATATATTAGATCTAGTATAATATTTACTGAATACAATATTAAGTTTAATATATATTAATTCAAATAAATATATTTACTAAATACAATATTAAATTTAATAAAATATTAAGTCTAATAATATTAAAATAACAAATACAATAAATTTTCTCAATCTTTCTTGTATAATCAATAACAACTTTTGAAATATAATTAAACAAATATATTGAGAAAAAGCATTATCTTCTTCATTTCAATTGTGACGATTCAGTCCCTTTCAGGTTCCTTTCTCAGTCACTTAGCTTCTAGGACCTTAGCCTAGCACGTGACTCATTGATGTATATAGTCCGGAGCCCTTACAGTTCTCTTCTTATTCTTTTCTTCCTTCTTTAGTTTTAGATTCTAAAATAGAATTGAATCCTTTTATAACAGTCCTTTACATTATCTAAAACTCACCTATACAAGTCTCTACCGGTAAACGGCATACCAAATAATATCTCACCTTTTCCTAGGCCACCCAAGCATCAACATTGCGTGAACTAGAAGAACCTATACCAGAAAAACAAGGAAATGTCTCTGAAGAATAGTTAACCAATAATAATCCCCTAATCCTCATATCAATTCTTCAAGAAAATCGAAAAGAGTCGCAAAGAAGTGTATTCAAGCTTTTCTTCACGATTCCGAAGAATCTAGTATAATCATAGTCTTTCAAAGCAAAGAACTACTGTATACTCCTCCTCCTCAAGCAAAAGCTAGCTCTTCCATTTCAACCTCAAATCAATTTGTTGCTCTCGACGATAACGAAGAAGATTCGGATTCCCTTACTTCTGGAATGATTATGCTACAAAAAGGCAAAGAACCAGATAAAGAAGAGCCTCCTGCCTGAACCAATAATCTTCTCAATCTTATCACTCAGCAAAATGCTACTATTGCTGAATTGAGATTGGAAATCAACAATATTCGTACCTCTCACCTTTCTAAGAATAACTCTTGGAATCGATCCCCTGCTTTCTAGAAAGCCTCATATCAGTCAGTCCTGATATAATTGAACCTGTGGATTTTACGGAAGCTATTATATATCTTTCACATAAAAAGGATACTCATCTTATTCCTGATTCGATTTTTCCTCAACAATCCACATTTGATAAGCAAGGCACAACTTTCTTTACTCTCTATAGAATAAAGAAGATCCCCCATTTTACAAAAAAGCTTTCGGATAGCAAAGCCTTGAAGTCCAAAACTATGGAAATATCTGATTGAATATAACCTGGAACAATATGTATATACTTTTATTAGCGAAAGGCAATGTAGGATTTACATTATCGCTAATATCGAAGGCATAGCTCGTAATCACTTGCAGCCCCTACTTCTTGATCCATCTTCCGAATATAATGTATAAGGATTAATTGAAGCCGCTGTATAAATTATTACTAATCCGACCGAGCAACAAGTGATATTAGATCAATATGAAATATTAAGACAAGGCGCAAATCAGTTATTTGGGAATTCTATCAAAAATTTCGATAATTAGCTAATATTGCCGGAATTCAAGATAGCTTTATTCTTCTCAATAGCCTTCGGAACCGAATTAATATCAGATTAGCATATACTTATGTTACGGAGTTCACTAGTTTTTGAAGTGTTAATGATTATACAGCTCTCCTTCAAATTCATAATGTGAATTACCGATCTATTAAAGCTAGGGAATATGCAACCGCGTCGGCTACCCAATCGAACCCTGCTAGCAATCATACGACTACTTCACAACAATCACGCTCTACATCTAAGACTAGTCAAGAGATCCCACAATATTCTGCGAATACCGTTCCATCTTGCTTATTATTGAATCACCAATCTAATACAATTTTTATTTCGAATAATCCTTATCATAATTCCCAATCTTGGAAATCTAATGGTCCAGCGAGAAATTCGATTCCAGCTCAATCCGATTCCTGAATTCAAGAGATTATTGATGCTGATGAACTTTTTGGCGAATCTATCGATAACTTTTCCGATATCTAACAGTTAGTGGATTTCGTTTAGAAAGAAGAAGTAATAAATACAAAGTCTTCAAAAGACAAACTCTAGGAAAAGTCTCCTTTTTAGAGTATCTAAGAGATATGAGATATCTTGATCTACGAAAGCTAATAAAAGATCCTCATATAATTATTCCTTATACGATTTCGAAGTAAGGAATTGCTTTTCAAGTTCAAGCTCTTATTGACTCCAGAGCTAATAGCTATGCATTTATTAACAAAGCTCTTCTACAACAAATCTCCTCGGTATTCACTATCTTTGTTACTAAACTACCCGCTCCAATATCTGTCAAAGGGTATAATAACATTATAGATAAACAAATTACTCATTATATTCATTTTACACTTACAATTAATAAACGTATTCAATTATACACTTCTTTCTAATTACTACTCTTCAGAACAATGGTGTTATTTTAGAACGACAATAGCTAGCTGAGCATTCCCTCCTTCTGATTACAAGAAGCAGAAACTGCTTTGGCCCCGTTCTTATCCTCCAACTCTTTCTTTCGCTTCCAATCGTATTCTCTTTTAGAAAGACCTCAAACCTAAGCCTCTAGATTCAGCAATACAATTAGACGCTGAGCAAAGAGATCGAAGTAGATCAATATTGGAGAAGGACGAAAATCCCCTATTCTTAATAATATACATTATTCTTCAAACCTAATTTCACAAGTTAATTCTGATTATGAAATCACCCTTTCGGACAATTCAACAGAATCCAATATATCCCCTGATATCCAAGTATTAGAAGTTTCTCCTCAAAAAAGCTCCAAAGTCTTGAAACCTTTAAAAGAGAACTTTGAAAAGACCTCAAAGGAGATATCCTCGATTCTGACTACTATTGGCAACACTTTTAAGAAATCAATAATCAGAAGTATTAAGCGAATGAACGAAATTCTGAAGGATCTATTATACGAAGTCTTAAAGGATAATTCACCTATACCTACACCTCGTAAAAGGCGTTTTTCTATCCCGCATTCCTCAGATAGCTCCAAAGCGCCTAATCGAATTGCTCTTATTACAGGCTCTGCATTCTATTTGACCTATATACACCAACAAAACGATGAATTATTCATTAGCTCTTTCCACGAAATTAGCGAATTAATCGATCAACGCTCTGAAGAGGAAGTATCAACCAAATTAGTTGATACTGCATTGCAAGACCTTCATTCTAGCCTATTGCAACGCTGTATAGCTGCATACTCGTTACTAGCCTCATTATCTGCGCTGAACGCAGAACCTTCCATTCCACCAGAATATGAAGACTATGCCGACGTATTCTCGAAAGCCGAATCGGATATACTACCACCACATCGATTATACGACCATAAGATTACCCTTGAAGGTGATGGTGAAAAAGCTCTCAAATACAGTTCTCTTTATAAGATGTCTCTTGAAGAGCTTGAAACAGTCAAGAAGTATATCACTGATAACCTTTATAAAGGCTTTATTGAATCTAAT